TCCTAACAATAACAGTAATAGCGGACAGAGTACTAGATTGAGAGGAGGTGCATTTGAAGATCAGTGGCTCTGATCTTGAGAAGAAATAATTACAAAAAGAGAAAGAGAAGATGCAAAATTTGGTCTGCTATTGCTAATTGGTGGGGTATTCAGTGGGTTATGTTGAATTCACCCATGTGTGAAAGGGGTGATCATCCAAGTCAAGTTTGGTTGGCAACAATGGGAAGGCAACCAACCAAAGTCCACCTTGGCGGCCACCAACCATCTTGAAGAGTCAAGGATGGAGGCTGCCCAAAGGCTCTCCCACCTACTTCCTCACCTATAAATGGAGGTTGAGAGGAGAGAGCAAAGTGTGAGCAAACCGTGAGACAACAAAGAGAGTGAGAGATGTGAGGCGGAGAGACCGTCTCTCTCGGTGTGAGCGAGGGAGACGGGTGAGTGGCTGAGTGAGGAGAGTGTGAGCTCCTCCTCTATTGTAATCTTTCTGTAATCTCCTCATTGGTATAGTGATAACCGGTTACTCTCCCGTGGACGTAGGCATTGGGCCGAACCACGTAAAATATTGTGTCTCCTTGTGTGTGGGTGTGTTTTTCTGCTTGCAATGATTTCTATAAGGTCATGGGCGGGATCCCAGATCCCAACAGGTTATTCCCAGATCCATAGATGGTCTTTTACTCTGGTGGATGGGTTGAAAGTTTAGGAAGAAAGTTAATTTGGTGTGGAAGGCCCTTCCAGCAGCAGTGTTGTGGTCTGTGTGGAGTTATAGAAATGAGTGTGTGTTTAAGGCAGTCCAGCTAAATTTTCAGGTTTTGTGTGAATGTATCAAGGCGAGGTTAGTAATTTGGATGAGATCTCAGTTCAGGGATGCTTCATTTCCAGTCAATGATGTCGTGTTTAATTTTCCACAAGTCAGGTGTTGTCTAGGATTTTCATGAATTCATTCTGGTATGGGGAGTATTGGTTGCAGGTTCTTTGCTGATGGGCATGCTCTACTGCTGCAGATGTAGGTTGTTCAGTGTTGCAGGTTGCAGTTAGTGAATTTTGATGTGTGGGTGTTGTCATCAAACTCTTTTGATGTGTGGGTGTTGTCATCAAACTCTTTTGCAGTTGGTGAATTTTGATGTGCAGTTGCAGGTTGCAGTTTGTGAATTCTGATCTGTTATTATGCTTGTTGAGCTTGCACCTACTCTGAGGATGTTCTGAGCATGGCTGCTGCTGTGATGGGCTATCCTGTGCTGTGCTGTTGGTGAATTTTAATGTGTGGGTGTTTCTGCTGGTAGTTGCTGCAAATCTTTCTAGTTATAGTGCTGCTTCTTCTACTTGCGGGTTCTGTTTGATGGTTGTTGGGTGTAGTCTCACAGGTCAAAGGGGTGCTTGGTTTTGGTTGATTCCAGAAGATGGTAGAGTGGGGTGTTGAGTCATTGGGGGTTTTTTCTTGTTGGGCTTGGTTTCTCACCAACCCTTGGGGTCGAGCTTGCAGATGATTTTGCTCTCTGCTCGGTGTCAACCTAGTTGGGATTGGGTAGTTTCCTATGATGCTTTGTGCTCTTCTCCTCTTTTATTGATGTATTTGCATATGTTATGTATGTGTTGTCATCAATAAATCTTTCTTTTGCTGATTAGAAAAATATAGGGTTTTTTTTAAAAGGACAAGGCTTGGATCTTCACACGTACAGATCTGTCATTGGGACAAACATAAAAATGGACCCAAAAAAAAAAAAAAAAACAAACAAACAAACAAATAAAAAATTTAAAATCACCGGCCGTTCATTAAGAACTCATCATAAATGTAGTTTTCTTTGAACTGTATATGTGATGGTGATGATGGATTCAATCAGAGGGGATTCTAAGCATAAGGTGTAGAGATGTGGGTTGTGTTGACTTTTTGGTTAAAGAATAATGCTTGGACCCCCTTTTGGGGGTCACCCCCTCACCCCTTTTGTCACGTGGCGGGTGGTGATTGGAGGAGCAAGAAAAAAAAGAAAAAGAAAAAGAAAATGTAACCAATGAGAGAGAGAGGGGGTCAAAGGGGGTGAGAAAAGGGGGTGTTAATATTATATAATAACCTATCCTATTATAATATGTTAGTGTATAATATTATATAATAGGTTATTATAATATGTTAGCATTATAATAGGTTAGTGATTGCTTGCTTTCATCATTAGTGTTTCTTTTCTGTAAGCCTTTCGGCCACTTTCGGTAAGTTGCTCAATGACTCCTCCAAATTATGTAATCTCTCCTCTATATAAAGGAGTTAACAACACAGATACCATACAAATAATAAAAGAGATACACAATTTCGCTCTCTTTCTCTATATAATTATTTTAACAGGGGGAATGAATCATTGTTGTTGGTTAAATTAGTCATAAAAAGATAAAATGAATTAAAAAGTTAATAAGATAAAATATTACATTTAAATCATAATTATTTTATTTTTAAAATTCAAGAAAGTCAATTCAAATGAGCTTTTTAGTTGAGGATAAAAAAATTAAAAAATTAAGAAGTCAACTCAACTTTTCAAACGAAGCCTGAATATGTGATGGTGGTCGGTGCTCATGGACTTTTCAACGTCCGTCGATCTCTCTCACGAGACACACCCAACACATGGCAGAACACACCCAGCACACCCAACACAGACCAGCAGCTCACACACACACCCATCACCTCCCTCTCGGCATACACACACATATGCATGGCAGCTCTCTCCCTCTCGGCAACTCTCTCTTCCAGGAAATTAACACACAGACAACCTCACCACCCCAGCTCCGTCGAATACTACGGACATGCACTAGCTCTCTCTCTCTCTTCTCTCTCTAACACAAACCCAGCACACACACACACACCCATCACTGCCATACACCCAGCTTCACACATCACACACGGCACACACACACACATGCAAAATCGTGGTCAATGAGGACACGCTGCGGCTTCAAGAAAATCTTGTAACTCAAATTCAGATGACGCTGTGGATGAGCTTGATAATGCTAACATAGTGGAAGGAACCTTGTGTTCTATGAGACCTGAGAATAGTTCTGCAGGTGATGTGACGATGGTACAAACAGCTGATGTATTAGTCCAGGAAGAGAGCAGCAAAGTCTTGGACATTTCAGATGAACAATGTAGCTCTTCAGTTGTTGGAGATGACCAAAACGGTGATCTTGCTGAAGTTTGTGACGAAGAGGAATCTGCCCAATGCTTGAAATTGGACTCATTTGAACAGGAGCAATTAACGTCTTCTCCATTAACATCCCCACAAAGCTCTTCAATCACCGTGCAAGTTGGAGATTCAAATGGTGCTAATGAAAAAAAAAAAAAACAAAAAAAAAAAAAAAAAAAAAAAAAAAACAAAGCCACCAACATTATTGAATTCAACATAATAATTAAAAAAACAAAAAAAAAAAAAAAAAAAAAAAAAAAAAAAAAAAAAAAAAAACAGCGCGGCCCCGTCCTGTATCCGTGCTCGAGCCAATATTCACGGAAGATGACATCAGCCCAACAACCCACATGCGTTCTCTCTGGCTAACAATAATTTTCACCATCTAACTTTTATTTTATTTTATTCACCCCATGTTCCCCACAGCTCCTTTTTGTTTCTTCCACCAAATGCTCTCCTTTCTTTTCTTTTCTTTATTCTCCACCGAATTGGAAACCCAATGAGGGAGATATATTGTATTAAAAAAAAAAAAAAAAAAACAAAAAAAAAAAAAAAAAAAAAAAAAAAAAAAAATTCCACCCACCAAACAACCTTTCACAGCCACTCTGCACTCAAATCATTTCCCACCACCCCACACCAGCACTCACTTCCCTCTTTTCTTTATTTATTTTAAACATTTTTCCACGGAAAGTGAGCCAGCCCTTTTCAAATAATTTTCCATTACATTTTTTATTTAAAAAAAAAAAAAAACAACACATACAAATTTGCACAACAACTTTGTTTTATTTATATTAGGGATCAACCTCAAATAGGTTTCTCTCTTCACACCTATTTGAGTTTGAGGGGGGGGTTATACACAGTATCATGTATAAGTCGCTCATGGCGCACTCCCTGAGTCGCCGCCTTGGTGCACCACCACAATTTGCTACAACGGTCCGACATGACCCCGTAAACTGTCCCGACATTGATTCCGGTTAGCTTCTACAACGGTCCGACATGACCTCATAAACTGTCTTCTACAACGGTCTGACACGACCACACAGTGTCTGCTACATCGGTCCAGCATGACCTCGTAAACTGTCCTGCTACAACGGTCCGACATGACCCCGTAAACTGTCCCGACATTGATTCCGGTCAGCTTCTACAACGGTCCGACATGACCTCATAAACTGTCTTCTACAACGGTCTGACACGACCACACAGTGTCTGCTACATCGGTCCAGCATGACCTCGTAAACTGTCCTGCTACAACGGTCCGACATGACCCCGTAAACTGTCCCGACATTGATTCCGGTCAGCTTCTACAACGGTCCGACATGACCTCATAAACTGTCTTCTACAACGGTCTGACACGACCACACAGTGTCTGCTACATCGGTCCAGCATGACCTCGTAAACTGTCCTGCTACAACGGTCCGACATGACCCCGTAAACTGTCCCGACATTGATTCCGGTCAGCTTCTACAACGGTCCGACATGACCTCATAAACTGTCTTCTACAACGGTCTGACACGACCACACAGTGTCTGCTACATCGGTCCAGCATGACCTCGTAAACTGTCCTGCTACAACGGTCCGACATGACCCCGTAAACTGTCCCGACATTGATTCCGGTCAGCTTCTACAACGGTCCGACATGACCTCATAAACTGTCTTCTACAACGCCCAAAAAAAAAAAAAAAAAAAAAACCTAACAATTGTATTCTATTGGATCAATTTAAGATAAAATTAAATTCAAGGTCGATCAATGTAATTAAAATTACAGAGATCAAAATAGCATAAGGGTCACAGTACAGACACTAACAGTGTAATATGATAAAAAAAATAAATTTCCAAACATACCTTAACATGCAATAATCATACCATGCAATTGCCTCCATGTACTTTGGACAAACTTGTATGAGCTTATGAGTAGAATCACTGACACAGCTACGACAGATACCGAGTTCAACATCTCCTCTACAAAGCACTATTGCATTAACTCTATCAGAGTTTTGGCCAAGAGAAGCATTGTAAAATCCATAACTGTCAATGGCTGAGGAGAGAGAAGAGAAGAGGGTCTTGAGGTTTGCCTCATAAGTAGTAGTGCTGTTAGTTCTATTAGGCACACAGTAACTGAATATGAATTCAGGCTGTGCAATGGTGATGGTGATGGTGATGAGGGTATGTGAAAGGAAGAAAAGCAGTCTCCAATAAACCATTTTTACTGTATCTATATCTATACTCTACTATAACCTGGTATTTGGACAAACAGGCTGAGAGAGAGAGAGAGAGAGAGCAAATGCTATGCCTTCTTTAGAATTGCTTGCTCTGCTTCTTATGTATTACAAAAGAAGAAGGCTTGCTTATTTATGAGAAGTTATCTGGTGGTCTGGGATATGACCATGTGGTGCCTAGGTGTGTTGTGATTAGGAGAGACGATAGGATTTATAATTTTATATTGAGTGAATAAAAAATAACAGGACATAATGATTTGTAATTGATTAGAGATATGGCTACATGATACCTTAACCATGATATAATATTTCCTGAGTTGCCAGTCTTCTCACCAATACTGTGCATTATATATTTTTTAATAAAAAAGTTACTATTTAAGTTACTGTATAACTTTTGAAATTCATAAGGTTTTGAAAGAAAAATAAAAAACTACTATTCATTGAAATCGACCCTTGATCATTAATTTCAAACCTCTGCCTATCATTTTTGAAGATGAGAAAAGAGATGACTCACATGCCCGAAACTGCAATCTGTGGGAGCGTCATTGTCCAACGGATATATGTTCAACAGATAGTTTTTTGTGTGTATATAGCAGTATTTTGGTTGGAGAAAAATAAGAAGTGAAGAGGAAAAAATTTGTGATATTGAATTGTTCTCAAATATTGTATTGTGCCTCCTTGTGTTGTATTTTTCGTGAGAAAATTTATTGAGAATTTGAGCAAAAAATTATAAAGGCATTTTACAACCTTCTTATTATTCTTGTAAAAAACAGAGTTTTTGTAAGTGATTTTTTTGGAATAAAATCACTTGGGTAAGGTAAAACCAGGTACTAGATTCAAAACTAGTCAGAGTGATTGGGTACAATTACTTGGTGTAAAGGTTTACTAGCACTTGTGAAGCTAGTGGTGTAATTACTATTTGAAAAATAATGAAGAAATTCCTGAGAAGGATACTTGGGCAATAGACATAGGCCCGACGTGATGAACTACTATAAATTGCTGAGTTTGCTTCCTCTTCTCTTTGCTCATTTTTATTTCATTAATCTATTTGATATTGTTGAGCATATTTATTTTTTTAATATTTGGGTTAAATTTTAATTTAGTAATTTATTTATAGATTATTATTACTCTGTTAATTTATTTGTTAAAATTCAAATATTTTAATTATTATTTTTAATATTATGAAATTATTTTTTAAAAACCCAAATCACCTCCCCTTTTGAGTTGCCTACCTGGGATAACAGTTTGATTTTTCTAAAATTATTTTTAGAATTTTTTGAGAAAATAGCAATTAGTTCGACAAAAATAAATATCAAAAAAATATTTTTGAATTTTTAAAAATTATTTCTACCTTTCGAGAAGATAAAATTATAAGTATTTTTTGATTTTTTTTAAAAAAATTCACCAAATTAATTTTTAATTTTTTTAAAAAAATCAAAAATATATTTGTGAAGGGTAGAAATCCATATCCAGCCCAATAGAAATATGGGCTCAAATAAGCCAGGTAAACCCAGATGAATTGAGCCCAAAAACAATGGAAGCCGACCAACATGATTGGGTGTATTAGACAAAATTAAGATTAAAGCAGAGATTGACCCCTGACAAAAGAATGACCCTCGGATCGGGGTGGATCCAACGGCTAAAGAAGAACACAAGTTGGCCACTGACCTTTGACAAAATGATGTTCATCCGATCAATAGAGATCTGAAAATCGTCGACAAATACAAGTTGGCTACTGCCTCTGACAGGAAGCCAATCATTGGATCAACAGAGATTCGACGATCAATAGCAATTGCAAGTTGGCCACTATTAAGGTAACCTCTGACAAAGGGCTGACCGTTTTGATCAAGAGAAGATTGAGGGTCACAATACCATACCAATTAATAAAAAAAGGAATCAAGCAAATAGGTAAATGACACACAGAGGTAACTAAGAGTAACTATACAAACATACCTTTCCTTTATTTCCCTATTACAATCGTGTTTGACTAGAATCTTATTAACTTGATCGTCATAGGTTTCTCCCAACCTACCTAGGTCGGAGGTGATTTTAGAATTTAGTTTCTCCTGCAAGTGTAGGATATGGTGCATTATCTCGCTAATCTTGTGTGGTGGCAAATTCACCATCTATAATATTCTAAAAACTAAACCAAACAAAGCGAGTCTTTGTGAAAATATGTGCAAGTTACTTGTTGATGTTGACAAATTTTCACGAAGTGATGACAAAAATATGTACACAGTGATGATGTAATTCAATGTGCTTGGATTGGACATGAAAATTTGAATTTTTTGTTAAAGCAATGACAGACGTGTTGTCAAAATAAATTATTGTGAGATCCATTTACTTTTGCTATAAATTTGCAAAAATTCTTTCAAATCATACACCACTTCACATATGGCGTCAAATAGCGGTAATGTATTCTTCTTTATAATTGAATAGACTAATACCGTCTTTTTGTTTTTGGAGAATCACGAGTGACAGAGTCTAATTTACGCTCAATCCACACTAGACCATGACCTTCATAACCAACGCAATCAATGTCTCTTGTGCCAAAACACAGTTGGGTAAGGTAGGGCCCCTATCATGATGTGAACCTTGATTCAAACATTACTATGCAAGTCCCTTAAGCAAACTAGTCCTTCGTGTCATTTTCCATCTACGGAAATATCTTATCCTATGAAGGGCTCGTTTGGAAATAAATTTTTTAATAATTTTTTTTTTTATAAATATGAGATGAAAAAAACTAAATGTGACTTTAAATACATTACGACAAAAATATACTTTAGTGGCACTATATTAATAGCATATTTTTAAAAAGTACCACAAAAATAATATTTGGTGGCATATTTTACAAAACCTCACAAAGCCGTAAACATAAAAAGCTTTAGTGATATTTCAATAAACAAGTGCCACAACACTACAAAAAAAAAACATTATTTAGTGGCGTCATTTTAGTGTTTTTTTATTTTTTATTTTATTTTATTTTATTTATAATAAAAATGCTATTACAAATACATCTAATGGCATTTGTTTAAAAATGTCCCTTAACCATTCGCCTATTCTACTATTTCAGTGGCATTTTATTTAATTAAGGCTGTAAATAAATTTTGTGGCATTTTTTAAAAATAAAATAAAATTGAGAGACATTTTATTTATTTAAGGTTACCAGCACAAATAAAATTTAATGGCATTTTAGAATTAAAAATAAAAAATAAAAAATAAAAAATGCCATTGAACCACAGTAGCAAAGGAAAGGGTGGAGTTCCACTTGGGAACTATCTCTCTCTCTCTCTCTCTCTCTCTCTCTCTCTCTCTGTACACATACATATATTCATAAACCATTAACTCTTTATTCTATTGAAAGAAGTAGAATCACAAAAACAAATTTTAGTGATTGGATTCCAGAAAAGCTCTAATTTGTTCAAATTATTGTTCTTCTATGGTTTGAGCCTTTGAGGGCGCAAGGTAGGCCCTTCACATTCTTTGAAACAGTAAAAATTGATATACGTTGTGTATGTTCCATACTTCTTGAGTATTTGTTGTCCTTATCATAGTGGTGATTTTCACATTCACTCATCATCTTCCTTCTTACTTTAATTTGTGTCTTTGTATTTTGTATAGACCATTTGTTATGTCAATAATTATACTTACTACTTGTTTCTTCAAAATACAATTTTGATTGTTTGTTCCCCCTAAATTAGCAAGGCATGCTTCTGAATGTTCCATTGGAGAATTAGCTCAGGCCATGGTGGTAATGTCCTAATATTTTAAGGGATACTTACGTATAGGTCTTAATAAGTAGACTTACTATCTAATAGGTCCTATAGAAAAAATTTGTCATAAAAAAGTCACTAATTGTAAGTTTTAGCGACAATTTATAAAAATCATGATAAAAAAGTCACTAATTGTCAAGTTTTAGCGACATATATAAAAAATTGTCACAAAAAATATTTTTAGTGACAATTTTACCAAGATTTATTTTCAATAGGACTTGATGAAAATTAAGTCCAACTATTAGAACTTATTGATAATTTACCCATATTTTTATTGAGTCATCTAGTGATAGTGTTAAATGCCCTGTTACCTATAGTACTACAACTTTAATATGCCTACCATCTAGCAACTAATTTGATTGTTATACATAATATTACTAAAACTAATGCCCTGCTATTTTGATGACCAGTAACAACACTACAATCTTGCTTGGAGCATCTGTCACTTTCTAATTCTGTGCAGTTTCATGCTATTCTTGATAAAATGAATAGTTGTGTTCTTTATTCAAGAGAAAAGCATAAAACAAAGCAAACTTAAATTATTTGTTGCTTATCATATGTGTGTGTAGATATCCATTTATAAATGTTGATGAATAGATATCAATAATGATACATCTCTCTAAATTAACGAGCTCTAATGACATGGAAAGTCAAAAAAAAAAAAAAAAAAACAAGACACAAACATCACTATCACAATGGAACCCACACTTCATTAGAGCTATTAGAGTTCCTTTATTGGAGCCCCAAAACATTTTTGAATAGATATATACAGGTTCGTCCACCTAGGGGCACTCCGACAATCAAGTCAATACTTAGTTATCTCTCAAAGATAGTAAACAATGCTTAACTCACTAGCTAAAATACTAAAAGCGTACCTTAGACCCACGATGGTGACTTACTTTTATAGCCAGCACTAACCTGATCCTTGTAGAAACCTAGCTTCAATGGACTCTGGATCAATACTCATCCTGGACTCCCAACTAGATAGAAATAAACTCCCTAAGAGCCTTATCTTTATCTAGACTGAGGTCCTCCCCCATTCTAGGACTCTTGTCCCTTATATGTTCATCTCGGATTCTGGTATCTCTGCAGATAGCCTCGGCCTAGCTGAGATCACCTCAGTGCCATGACCAAGACACGTGGCACCTCGGCCGACACTTCGGTGTCACCTTGGCCACGCGTTGTCATTCACAAAATATGCCCCCACAATTGCCTCCTAGGTTTTATTACCTCGGCATCTTGAGGTGATGGAACTTATACCGTTTGTCCATATAGCACATCGGCTAGGACTTACTCCATCCTTTATGACCGAGATTATCACACGTCGGCTTCACCTGACCAAGACTCTACAGTCTACTTTTTTAATGACCAAGAACCAAGAACCAAGTTCTTCA